AGAAAATTGGGGAGAAGAGACAGGGAATGAGGTGATGTGTGCCTGGCTCCTGAGAAGCCTTCTCAAACTCTGAAAGAATCACAGGAGAACTCCCTGTGGACTAAAAGGCATCTCTGCTCAGCCTCGGTCTTGAAGAAAGTCTTGGCTCAATAGTCCTTTTCCAGAGAGCAGGTTGCCTCACTTAGTGAAGAAGTTGCACCGTGTGTCTGTTTTCCATCCCATTCCTCTGACCTCATCCTCTTAGATTTCGTCTCCAAAAAGCCAATTGAACAGTGGTAGCTCAGACTCAGGCTCAAAAACCAGCTTCATCTATTTGCTTTAACATAACCCCTCAATTGAAAATTGAAAACAAGTCAGGAAGGAAGACTTGCAACATAAATGGCACCTGTGAATGCTCTGGACATTAATCCGTCATACACATCATTCTCTTTTGAAGTTGTTTTATCTTCCTTCTAAAGAACTCAGAAACTCAATGGCAACTTGAAACAGAACCCAATTTAGTCCTGTCTTAGACCAAAAGGGTTTTCTTCTCCCTGGTCCTCTGTCAGATTCTAAATGGATGTGGTTTTATTCCCCTTCTCATCTAATACTGGAACATATCCATCTACACAAAGATCTCACTTTTAAATGATATTCTTGTATTTCAAGAGACCTTTACAGGGGAAAAATCCTAGCTCCCCTCTAGACGAAGCTCATGGCGGGAAACTGAGTCTATTTATCTCCAAAGATAAAAACAAATTCCTACAAAGTGTTGGGCCCAAATTCTTGGTGGCTAGAGGAGGAGGTGGGGTTCTGAAGGGGGACAGGACTTGCTCAGAGTCACATAGCTGGGTTAGTGTGTCACCTGTGCGCTTTCTTTCTTCTCATAACTATTGGGTACTTTCCCTCAAAGTGTGACCCGGACTCTGGTTGGAACAAGAATTCCTGTCCTGTGCTCCTCTGAGATACAGCACCCAAGACAATTATAATGTTCAGCTGTTAAAAAGAAACCTCAGCCCTGGCTGGTTTGGCTCAGTAATAGAGCGTCAGCCTGCGGACTAAAGGGTCCCGGGTTTGATTCCGGTCAAGGGCATATGCCTGGGTTGCGGGCTTGATCCCCAGTGGGGGGCGTGCAGGAGGCAGCTGATCAATGATTCTCTCTCTCTTACTGATGTTTCTATTTCTCTCTCCCTCTCCCTTCCTCTCTGAAATCAATAAAAAAAAAATTAAAAATAAAAAAAGAAACATCAGTGATGAGAGAGAATGACTGACCGGCTGCCTCCCGCACGCCCCACACCGGGGACGCAGCCTGTGCCCTGACCGGGAATCGAGCCGTGACCTGCTGGTTCCTGGGTGGACACTCAGCCCCTGAGCCAGGCCGGCCGGGCGTCACCTTTTCTTTCTTGGTCACTGGGATCTCAGCACGTTAGGGTTCGCGTTTGTCCTTTTGTTCTCTGGGAAGTTCTCCTGTTAGGCCTCATCCACAGGGACTGGTCAGACGCGATCAGGTCACGTCGGATGTGAGGGAACCAGCTGTGTGAGGCCGGGCCTCTAAGCATCGATTGCACAGGAGTGTGAGCGCTGGGAGGGTGTACAAAACCCTCATTCATTTTACTCCATAGCAGCTGTACTGTCAGTCACACACCGAGCAATTCGCCCATTAAACTGGGCAATGCAGTGCTCGTCGTGTGCGGTGTGAACGTGTAGTGCACGTGTCACCTGCCCCAGAGGCAGCAGTAGCACATCTTGATCGTCTCAGAGAGAACCCCCATGCCCGTCCCTCCCCCCCCGCCCGCCACAGCCCAGCAGCCAGGCACCGACCGCGTTCTGTCTGGAGGGATCTGACGATTCTGGAAGCTTCGTAGGAGGCTCTGGAGTCCCTGTGTGGGGTGGGGGTGTGGGGGTGCGGTGACACCCCACCTGGGAGGCAGGCAGGGGCCAGGTGAGGGCAGGAGACAGCTCTGGAGGTGAGGGGGCCCCTCTGAGGCCGCACCAG